CTTTCGACAGTTTACAATCTCGCGAGATAGATTACAATCTAACGGTGTTTATAATTTTACGGTGACATATACACCAGGTGTTAGTTCCCGAATAGATTTAATTCACATAGGTAAATGAAACCAACACTGCCCGTGTGACGTAACATATCATTAAAATTCACAGAAACCGCGGACTGAATGAAATTCTCGTTTCCATTTGACGGTGATAGTGTCAAAGGCATCTGCCATATTTTCTCCTATTTACATATTAATTTGAATATTTACTGTAAGACATCGTTCACGCGAAGTTGGCTTTTTATAGAACAGGGGGCAAACGGGCAGGACGCTCATCTGATGTTATACCGCCCATGGATACTCTCAATTCTAGAGGGCTCGCGAGTGCGTTGCGGGCCTTTTAAGAATTGGCACGCTCTTTTTGCCGAAAACTGCCTTAGGGCGAGACCAAACAGATGCGCAGCAGCAACATGCGGCATGCGTAGGACTCAACAAGTCTTCAGTGCGAATTAGGGATGCTCGATGATCATCAATGTTCGATGAGCATTGATGTTAAAAACAAAAACATCGATGTTTGTATGCTATACGAAAAATATCATAACATCGATGTTAACGGAATCAAACATCAATGTTAGCTCACGGCCTCAGCACGACCAATACAAGTTACGAAAAAATTTAAGTCTTCTATGAACGTTCAACAAACAACAACGAACAAATCACTTCGTTCGTTCTTCGTAGTCTCGCTCGCTCTTTCTCTCCCACACTTCCTCACTACTCTTTATCAACAAAGAATTTATCTTAGGTTCTTCTTATGATATTGATGTCAATATTGATGTTTTTCTAATCGATCATCCCTAATGTACACAAAATAAAGCGCGCGGCACTTGGACAAACTGAGAGCGCGCACGCCGCACACGAATGCCGCGCTATATTTGGGCCCTTATAAACGCTCAACATCCGTCGTTCCACAACTGTAACTTTATAAAACTTGGCAAGCAACAGTGAAAAACAATGAAAAACTAACAGTCGAAACACGGAGAGAAGTATGCTAAACATAAAATCTAATGAAAGGACCTACAAAAGTACGGAAAAAGACAAAAGACGTTCTTCAGTTGTGACGTACTTATTTATATATTCACTGATTATATGTTAGGGTATATCTGTAGGACTTGTATATCTGTGAGAGCAGTGTTGGTCTAGTGGCTTGAGCGTGCGACTCTCATACCTGAGGCCGTTGGTTCTATCCCCGGCTGTGCACCAATATTCCATTGGTGCACTTTCTATGTGCGCCATGTCTTAGACCCAAAAAGTCGACGGCGTGTGTCAGGCACTGGAGGCTGATCACCTACTTGCCTATTAGATTTAAAAATGATCATGAAACAGATTCAGAAATCTGAGGCCAAGACCTAAAGAGTTTTTGTATTTATATCTGTACTTAGCGATCCGTAGGGTTGTTAGGTTCCTAGGTTTCACCCTCTCATATAATTATTTACCTGGTGCAGGTTGCATATACTACATATATTAAATATACTCCTGACTTTTCTTACATTTAAATTTAAACACATTTCACAGTCCAAGGTTGGTAAGCTGCACAGACGTTTTACAAATGGAACTGGACTGGAAACATTGAAAAGTAAAAAAGAGAAATGCACAAAAGATGTATTAGAATGGATACATGAGATGGCGAGGGGACAAGTAAGAAGATGGGCAAAAGGTCTGCCGTAAAAGATGGAGCAGAATGATCAAAACCAACTACTTAGGTTTAAAGAAATTTATTCTCATAACAGACAATAGTCACTTACATGAGAACTTATATACTAAAGATACAATTTATCACGTCGTGGGTCATTGAAGAGCTTCAAGGATCAATTAGCGAAGTAGAACTTGGGTGGACTTTCATTATGTAGAGAACTGGGATCACTCAAGAGATGGTATTTTAGTCTTAATTCAAATATTGCCAGGCTGTCTGCACTTTTCATATTTTGTAGAAGTCTATTATAAGATGCAGCTCCTTACAAACGTTGTGAAAAAAAAAAATTGGCTATTAAAAAGAGTGGCGGAGAGTTTATTGCCGGTTCTTCTCTTCCGTTCGACGTCCTTGATTTGAGAACTGGCAGTAAATGTAAAATTAGAAGCATTTAATGTATATTTCTTTTTTGACGTTCATAAGTGTACATTGTGTTAGCTATATGAATAAATGATTTTTTACTTTTGACTATACCACCAACAATGTTTTTGAAGTGAAACTTCTTTATCAAGGTTGGAAAAAAAATTTAGTGTAACATTTTTTCGTTACGCGTCACATTTTTCGGTTACGCGCCATGTTGCTTTTTGAAGTCAAACTTCTTTATCGGCGTTGGAATGAAACTTCTTTATCGACGTATGGGAGAAATTTTGTAGCAAATCGTCACGTTTTTCAATGATAGTAATAATTCTATTACAATTAATGAAATTCTATAATACTCTTCGTAGTAATAAGGTAAAATGAAATATTTGTATTCATGTCTATGATAATAAAAGCCTTTTGTTAAACTTTATCTAATTTAATGAATTTCTGTAAAGTTGCATATAGTAGATCATTTTTCGAAAAATAAGATCATAAAGAAGTTTCACTTCTTACGTGTGTACACCTAGTACACGCACAATTTATTTACCGTCATTGGTTCTATACTTAGGTAGAATTATGAGGACGGCGTGAACTGCAGTACTGAATTAGATTTATTTTAGTTAAAGTAATGTTAGTGTACATATGATAACTTTATAATACTATGTACCTGTTTTGTCTAATAGTACATTCAAGTAAATAATTAAGAATTACTCATTATTTTATTCCTAAAACCAACATCTACCAGCTGACAGTGGTATAACCTAGCATATACTGAATTCGAATGGTAAAAGCTCGAAAAAATCGTCGTATTTTCAGAAATACTTACATTTACCAACTCATGTCGGTAAATCCTAAGATTTACACTTAAATCTTAAGATTAACCGTAGTTCGAACTTTTACAGTAACATATTTAGTTATTTAAAACTACGTGCCTATAATGAAAAATGATTTTGAAACAAAGGAAGCGACTGATTTATTTTTATTTTATAACTAGAAGCGGAGTTTCAAATAAAAGTTTTGAATTTAAATGTCGATTACAATCAAGAGAAATATTTTTTCAAATAAATAACTTTTCTAAAGGGTTACGAAGTTCAAGTTCACTTTACGGGTTTCACCCTCAACTCAATTGTTTTACTTCTTTATGTTGAAATGTTCAAAGTTCTTTTGTTAGATATATACTCTGGTATTAAATATATACTGACTTGAAACTTATGTTTCTTAACATTCAAAACTTATTATCATGTAATAAATGTAATATATCTTAATAACAAACTAATATATTTACAATATTTTAATCTACACAGTGACAGCATCAAATTATAAACAAAAACTGTTAAAAAAACTAATAAATATAAAATATAAAATTCTCGTGTCACAATGTTCGTTCCCATACTCCTCCCAAACGGCTCGACCGATTCTTATGAAATTTTTTGTGCATATTCAGTAAGTCTGAGAATCGGCTACTATCTTTCAAACCCCTAAATGTTAAGGGTGGCCTAAAATTTTTTTAAAATTATTATGATACAGCATACAAAAATATATACAACCCTTAATTTTCACCCCTCTACGGACTACGACCAACCCCTATTTTTTATTTGTTAATTAAAATCTTATGATTTGCACTCTGAGGTTTTATATTGAGAAAAAGTCACAGAAAAACTTAAAAACTTTTCATTCCAGAAAACCGAACAGTCTGCGGTAGCATAGCAAAATGTTCCATGTTGGTATGTACTAAAGAGGTAGGCTAAGTAAAATCACATTAAGGAAAAAAGACGTTCGCGGGGGCAGCTAGTGTGTATAAAATAATCTTATTTTAATGGCGCCTAAATAGGAATATTTTTGAAACTCGGTTTCAGAGACAGCTGAAAAATAGATCGTTGTAATGGATGCAGTCTGAGACCAAGGCCCATTTAGGGGCTTAGCCCCACATTTGTTATTATTTATATATAGTGTTAATTTTAAAATGTTTACCCATACGTATGTATTAAATTTATGCATCTTAAAGGAGAACTCTCGATATTAAATAATTTAAATTTAACAGACTCGGGTTATGAAAGCTAACATTAGTTAAATTACATATATATATGTTAGTTAATTATTAGAAGCGTAAACAAAATGTCAGCATCTTTAGTTTCTATTATAATATATAGATAATGTCCAAAAAAAGGCCACTTAGATATTTTACAAACTCTTCAATAAGTCAAGTTAGTTTTTTGTTATTCAAGCGTCGCAACCCCTAATTTAACAATAAAGTAAACCCCTAATTTTATTTTCTTATAAGATCATGTTTTAAACAATTAAAGCCAGTTGTTGTATGTAAACAAAGTGTTCCATGTTGAACACATATTTGAACAACAACCGCCACAGAACTTAAACCAACCAACTGTGCAAAAAGCTCAGTGTAGTATCACGCAGCCCGTACATACAACAACCACTATTTAAGCCTTGATTTGTAAGCTATCGCAGATTATACTTAAAATGAGTATTAAGAACACACACATACATCCTACATACATATCTTCACTTCCACACATCACAGACGATTTAGGTATTACTTAGTTGACGGTATTTAATATTAATATTGTTATATATAATTTTTATGATAGCTATGTTACGAAATATATGTGCAAAAATCATTAATACAATATGTCCAAGTCACTAACAAAAGGATCAAATATTCTATCTTCTTCTATTGCTGTGTCAGTGGGTGGACTGCGGGGCGCGCGAGGCACTGAGGCGCGCCGGCCCGTAATAACAATTAGTTAATGTAAAACAATAAATTAATGTAATTTTATCAAATTTTTTTCTGAAATGGATTACTTGGCTTGGGATAAAATGTATCGTATACACATATTAGAACGTATAAATAAATAAATTTGAAATGTATTTTGTTATAGACATGATGACGTGTCGGCTGGGCTCTCGGCGGCTGGGGGGTTCCGGAGGATCATTGCAGCCCGGCACAGCGTGTTCCGCCGCCAGCGAGCTTGATTTGAGCTCGCGCCGCGCACACAAATCTAGGTGAGATATAAATATGTGTATTTTTATGTATTTAATTTACAATCGAGTCTTCAAGGCAATACAAATAATAACAATATTGTTTCGAACTATTGTAACTAATAACTTCTCTTTAAATGAAATGTTTATTTGAAGTGCTGTTATATTTTATCGCACACGTTACAATATGTATAGACGCTATCTAAAAATCAGAATACAGAAGTGCAGTTATGAATGTACCAATGGACATACTATGTGCGCATTTAACACTCGCACGTACGGTGAAGGAAAACATCGTGAGGTTATGACGTGCCATATTAATAAAGGCTGATCACCTACTTGTCTATGATATAAAAATGATCAAACAAATGCATGCAATCTGGGGTCTACTTAGGGTTGTAGCGCCATGGATTAATATTATGAACTCTTTTGCAAAAAAATTGGGCACATAGGTGCACTATAGAAAATGAAATTTGAAATGTAGGAAATGAAAATTTAGTTTTTATACATATAATCGTGTAAATTAATATGTGTGGTAAATTCTGGTATAATCTTTTTATGAATTTTTGATTGATTATTCCTTGAGCCGATACTAGGCCGAGTGTCGTGTTCGTAATAGATATTTTAATTTTATAACATTTTGGTCATTCATAATTATTTGAACGCTACACGATTTCTTTGCGCTTTATACACTTGCAAGCGATGGAGTGAAGTACCGTCTTGCCTTGGTAAGCACACCAAGCTTCTTAGAGGATAATTTAGCCTTTCCTTCCGAATAACCGCGTAATTAAATTACTGCCCTGCGATTCTGTAACTCACTTTTCGAACTCACACAGCGTTTTTCGCAGCTCCCACCTTTTCAGAATGCCAAATCATAAAATGACTGCTTCACGACTGATTTGAGAGCGACCGCCGATGCGAAAACCGCTGTGAGAGTTCGAAAAGTGAGTTACAGAATCGCAGGGCTGAACCTAAAGCTAAGGACCGCCCAACGATCAATGCCAGAGGACTCGCGAGTGCGATGCCGGTCTTTTACACGCTTTATATTAGCTTCACCTGTATGTATGTTTGTATGTAACCGACTCCTTCGGACTCGATTTTGACTCACTTTAAACGGACAGATTGTATTCAAATTTTGCGCACCTGTCAAAGATCGATGACAATGAATAATCCAAAAAATAAAAATTAAAAAAATTTAACTAAAAAATAAATAATAGTTTAAAAAAACTAAATACAATGCTCGATATACGAAAAATATGACACAGAGCGCCCCACGCTTTTTCACAATAATACCAGTATTTTTTGTTCATTACCATTTTCAGCCTAAATTAGGAATTATTTTTCACTTTTTAGTTTGATGTGCTTTAAAAGCGTGTCTTTTAGTTTTTTTAAACTATTATTTATTTTTTATTTTTTAGTTAAATTTTTTTTATTTTTTTATTACCATTTTCAGCCTAAATTAGGAATTATTTTTCACTTTTTAGTTTGATGTGCTTTAAAAGCGTGTCTTTTAGTTTTTTTAAACTATTATTTATTAAGAATGTATCTCTCATTGTTCCTATACTAATTGTATCCATATCCCTACGACTGACAAGTGCGGTTGTAGGCGGATCAGAGATCTATTGTTAAAAATTGTGATATCCATCTTTGTGATTAAATTCCCGTAAGTCAAGTATTTATTTTTTATTTATTGAAGTTATACCTTTAGGCGCGTTATGAAAAATTGATGAGAGTGAAATTTTACGATGCGCGCGCACCGTGACACAAAATTAACAGAATGAAGTTGCCCACGGAAGGTGCTACGGCATTGGACATAATTTAAAAACAACATTCGAATAATAATAAATATTATTTTATTTAATTTTTCAAATGTAAACTGAACTTTATTGACTATTAATGACTCCTTTTCCAGTCTTTGATTATTTAATTGTAATGAATTATTTGCATGCAATCAAAAACTATTTTTAATAATGCCAAAGAAGTATAACTTCTTACGCGCGTACATAAGTACACGCACCCTTTTTTTGTAAATCTGTCAGAGTGCGCTTAATCTCTCTCTGTTTGACAGAGCAGCCCCTCTGTCTGTCTGTGGTCACGGACTTAGACTCGTACTTAGGACCAACTATATTTATCTATTTATAAAAACCTTAAAGCTCTATAGAAAATAAATCATGAATCTGTGTAATGTATCTGTATATGTGTCCAAAAGGAATTACACAAATGCCGTACAGTACTAAATGACCTATATTGCTTCTGCAACTGTCGTCGAATTAAAAATTTGCACCGACTTCCGGCACCATCACTTTAGTACGGCACTAGGTTTTTCGACATTTATTTTTAATCATCTATACTTATAACAAAGCCGTACATTATTAAATAGTCGAAATTCCCCAATTGTACCTGAGAAAGTCCATTCACTCACGTACTCACTCTTTCGATTGGTATCATAAAAGTAGGGGTGTTTTTTTTACATTTAAGCCGGTTCTATTTCCAGACGAGGCTAGTAATTTTTACTTTTTTTTTACTCACATGTACCGCTCAGAAATGACGGCATAGTGCTCAGAGCTATTTTCAGATATAGTAACAGCCTTCTAAGCGTAATTCACGTTGGGTCATTTCACAGGTATTTTTTGTTCATGGGCTTGTGGTCTATTACCCATCATATTTCTTTATTTAGTTTTTTTCTTGAAAGAGATCGCTTGTTAGCAATAAGGCTGCCCGCTGCATTCCTTATAATTTTATGTATTATGTTATTTGTGTTTCTATAAGAGAGAGAATGTGGGTATGGGTGTGTATTTGGTTGTGTGTGTAACTGGAGCTTCGTGAAGCGCATAGCATCTGCTCCTTCTATTACCGCTACTTCATAGCGATCACGACCGCTCTGTCAAGAGTGTACCGGATAAGAAGAGTAACTGGAGCCTGTGTGTTAAAATCGGCTTGATATTATGGCTCTTTATGAATATTTTTCTACAAGAAGCATCCATGTAACGTATGCATACTTAATGGTGGAGGATTTCAGCTAGAAACTGAGTTTACGAGTGCTTAGTTACCTTGATTTATGTTCTCAGCTTTTGTATATGAATTTTACATTTTGCTTGAGTGCAATATATCTCATTGTGTAATGTACTTTGAGAAATTGCAACAGCGCCGGCACTCTATAATTCCCAATTTATGTTGATATTGTACTGCGCAATTCCAAGAACGCATCAGCGAAGTCTGAATGAACTACAGGCTCCGAATACTTTATTAATTTGTATATTTTTTGTATTTGTATAGGTAAAACTGTTCTTGGTGTATGTTTAAATGTGTAATCCGTTTTTGGCTATGTGTACAGTGTAATTGTTTGAATATTGTTTAGTAAGTAGCTGTAGGAATACCGTTGAGCAAATAAATAAATAAATTATGCAATTTTTTGCATTCATTAATAGATGGCGTTGTATATAATTACGCTAAGTGTAAAACGCGATAGCGAAGCGCATCCAAGCATGGTCGGATACAGAAATACTCTGTAACCGACCATGCATGACGGTAGTATAGACAGCGCGCATTGTGCCCCTTCCCATATCCACCGGTTACAGGCGCTCCAGTCATGATTATCATAAGGTGCATGCTTCTACGTGTGGAACGTCGATCACCTCCACTCCTCCACCCCCACAACAATGTTCGTTTGTTCCTCACATCAACACCAACTATGCAAAAAACTTAGTATTGTATCGCGTAGCCTGGACATACAATGACCATTAATTAAGCCTTGACTTGTTTAAGCTATAACATGCTTAAAAGTAGTATTAAATAATATATATAGCGCTAAATCACCTGCATCATGAGCACACCCCACATACACACCATTAGGTATTACTTAGTTGAATGTATTTAATAATTTTCTTTTGCAAATGTAAATGTTTGAACCCTTTAGTAACTATTATATTAGGTCCTTACATATGAAATTGGCGTTTTGTATGGGAGGAACAAAAAGTCGAATATTTTTAAATATAATATATTTAATTAATCAAAGTATGAACCATTGTTTTCTATGCACTTTTGCCATCTCATAGGTAGTTCATTGATCCCTTTACTAAAAACACCAGTCGGACGGGAATCAATGAAATCTGTGAAGGCGATTTGGACTGCCCCATCAGAGTTAATTTTTTTCCCTTGCAAGAAGTTGTCCAAATTTCGAAAAAAATGGTAATCTGTTGGAGCAAGGTCCGGGGAGTACGGAGGATTTCTTAGACATTCCAATTGAAGCTCTTCTAATTTGGTAGCCGTCTGTTGTGCAGTGTGTGGTCTAGCGTTGTCGTGAAGTAGCAGTGGCATGGAGCGATTGACCAGCCTAGGTTGTTTAGCCGCTAGCTTTTCCATCATGGTTTGCAATTGCTGACAATAGACATCAGCCGTAATAGTCTGGCCAGATTTGAGAAATCTGCAATGAACAATACCGGCAGTAGTCCACCAAACGCTTACAAGTAACTTTTTTGGGGTTAATTTTGCTTGGGGCAGGATTTGGCTGGCTGGGCAGGATCCAACCATTGCGCTGAGCGCTTCCGATTATCGTAAAGAATCCATTTTTCATCACAGGTAATGATTCGGTTTAAAATACCTTCATTATTGTGCCGGTTCAGTAATGTAACGCAGCAGTCGACGCGCGTTTGCCGGTTTGCTTCAGTCAATTCGTGAGGTACCCATCTTTCAAGCTTTTTAATATTCCCGATTTGCTTCAAGTGAATTAAAACAGTTTTATCACTAACACCGCAGCCTGCAGCTAACTCGGACGTGGTTTGCGATGAATCCGCTTCCATAATAGCCTTCAATACTTCATTATCAACTGGGGTCTCAGGCCGTCCACGGGGCTTGTTCTGCAGGTCGAAATTTCCAGAACGAAAACGTTGGAACCAAAAACGAACTGTGTTTTCTTTTGCAACATGACCGCCATACACATCATTCACCCTTCGAGTCGTTTCCACAGCACTTGTGCCACGGCGGAACTCTTAAATAATGCGATACTTTAAGTTTTCCATTTTGTA